CCGGGCCTTTAATCCCAGCACTCGGGAGGCAGAGGCAGGTGGATCTCTGTGAGTTCGAGGCCAGCCTGGTCTACAGAGGGAGTTCCAGGACAGGCTCCAAAAGCTACACAGAGAAACTCTGTCTTGGAAAAAAAAAAAAAAAAAAAGAGTAGGGCCTCATGAGCTCCCCCCAATCCACGATGAGTGTTGATGCTGTAGGCTTGAGAAGGCCTTATTCAGGTAGCCACTGCCCCTTAAGGTTCATGGCTGCAAGAGCCATATCCTGTCCAGGAGATGAGGTGTCCCAGCATCCCTCCCTGTCTTCCGGCACTTACGTTCTTCTCACCTCTCCCACCATGTTCTCTGAGCCTCGGAGGGGATGATGGAGTTGTTGGTTATTCTCTGCACTTTGCCCAGTTCTGAGTCCCTGCATCAACTGCTACCCAGTGCAGACAGAAGCTTCTCCCAGTCAGAGGGCTTGAGGCTGCTTCAGTGGACCGCAGAGTCCTGGCCTACAGGAATCTAGTTGTAATGGGAAGGAACACAGGGTAGTGAGGAGTTGAAGCTGCTTTCTCTTCTTGTGGGTTTTTAACTGTTAGAGGATTTCTGAAAATCACCTGGTCCAATTCACAGCCTTTTTATAAACAATTGGCCCAAGGCATTGGTTTAAAAACACCAGCATATTGATTACTTGTTTGTTGTCAGGAGTGTCTAAGTATCTTCCACACGTCCCCCAAGACATACATACTGTTCTCACTGTACTGATATGTGCAAGACTTGAGCTGCTGAGGACCTACTCAAAGGGCATCAAGGTCGGAGGGTCCAAGCTGGGGTTTGGACCCAAGTGTGTTTGATTCCAAAGCCTTTTTTTTTTTTTTCACTGTTTACTGCATGAGCTTGTTTTTAATAATATATGAGACTTAGAAAAGGTTTTTTTTTTTCAAATTGTTAAAATAATACACACTCATTATAGAAAGTTTGGACAGCAAAATATAGAGAAGAAAGCAATTACCTGTAATCCTGCACCCTAGGGATAACCGCTACCAAATTTCATCTTTTTTCTTTCCAGGCTTAAGCAAGCTGTAATTTATATGTCTAAATGAGTGCTGCAGCACACAGTTGTCTTTGAGGCTGACACATGAAATCAACCATCGTGCTGTTGCATCAGATAGAGTCCCTTTCAGAGTCTGTTAGGAGCTAAAGTCTCTGTGATTTCCTAGGCATGGAATAGAAATGACAAAGGCAGTGTGTCCATTCCTCATATCCTAGCAAAATAATACATGACATGTGCGACCATTTTGTGCCTTCTAAATGTCTGTGCTGCAGCTATTTACCATCCCGTAAGGAATAGCACCTTGTGTTGAAGAAAACCATAAATATCGTGTGCCGAGTTCAGTTGTAGTGGGGGATTGAATTTACCAAAATGCCGCTCCTCATGTCAAACACTGATGGATATTTTGGGGTATGTTTAAAAGCCTTTATTAAAAATTAAATCCATAAATGTTTAATATCTTATTTGACAACTCATTTATTACATTGTCAACATAACAGTGTTTGCCTTTGGTGGTACATAAAGAAAATCAGAAAATTGCTTTTGTCAAAACTTTGAAAAGCATATTTTGAAATCAATTCCTATTTAATGGAGGTATTACACTCACTGAATTATTCCCCTCCAAGGGGTTTTTGTGAAAGCAAATGGATCTAAGCGTGAGGAACTCATCTGTAAATAAAGTCAGTAGTGTCTCATGCCACAGTAAATGTTTCCCAAAGATCTCTCTCTCTGCCCCCATGTCTCCTCTCCTCTCCTCTCCTTTCCTCTCCTCTTCTCTTCTCTCTCTCTCTCTCTCTCTCTCTCTCTCTCTCTCTCTCTCCCTCTCTCCCAACACACACACACACACACACACACACACACACACACACACACACACACACACACACACACAAAACCCTACCAAAATGAACTCTTTACCATGGAGTTCTCGCCTGACTTAAAATCCAGGCATCTCATTACTTGGCTGATTTCTGCTTTATTTGTTAACAGTTATTCTTATCTGCCCATCAGCCTACTCACCTTATCCACCAACTGCTGGACACCTGGGACCCTGGGACCCTGGGACCCTCGGTTTCAGATTGGTCTATAAAATGCTTTGGGGCCACTCCCCGGGTTCAGAATAGGGCCAAGTAGGCTTGCATTCCTGTCCCGGGGCTTCACTCTCCCCTTGTCTTCTGGTTGCCAATATTTCCTGTAATCAGAATTGATCCTGCACACAGAGCTAATTATGAAACGTAGGTTGTGTTTTATGTTAATAACCTTGGCACTATCCTGACATTGTTCATGCCACTGGAGCGTTACATTCTCTCTCAGAAGCCAGATTGTTAGGGAAAAGATTGAAAGAAAGATCTCAGGATGTCCAGATCAGTCTTCTCATTTAAATATGAACCCTAGAGATGTTAGTGGAGGTGGAGAAGTACCAGGAGAAGTGGTATCAGAGCCGTGCATGACATCTCATTTATTTTTTTAAAAATGTTTTATTAAAAATACATTGTTTTTCATCCAGTGTATTCTGATTATCGTTTCTCTTCTGCAGATCCTCTCCACTTCCCAACCCACCCAAATCCATCCCTTTTCTTTCTCTTTCTCATTAAAATACAGCTACACATCTAAAATATATTAATAATAATAATAAGGATAAGATAACAATCCAGAATAGGACAAAACAAACAATAAGGATAACATAAGAACAATCCAGAATAGGACGAAACACACCGATGCTGAGACGCACACATTCACACGTCCAGAAAAACCCATAAAAACAAAATTGGAAACCATAGTATATAAGCAGAAGATCTTTAAAGTTAAAAAAAGAATGCCCAAAGTATTGTGAGACAAAAAGCCTCCAAAGATACCATTGAGTTTGTTTCGTGTTGGACACCTACTGCTGAGCCTGGGGCCTGCCCTTAAGTGTGATTTGTATGCCCACTGAGACTCAGTCGGAGAAAACTAAGTTTCCACTTGCAAGTGGTTATCAACTGGAGATGGCTTCTGGGTTAGGGATGAGGACGTGCGTCTCCTTCCTCTCTCAGGACTGGGACCCTGTCTGGTTTACACCTGTGCCTGCTGACCCAGTCTCTGTGAGTTCATATGTGTATCAGTCCTCTTGTGTCTAGAAGGCCTTGTTTTCTTGTCTTCTAGCCCCACTGGCTTTTACAATCTTTCTGCCTCCTCTTTCACATAGCTCCCTGAGACCTGAGGGGAGGGATTGGATGGCAATGTCACCTTTAGGACTGAGTGTTCCAAGGTCTCTTACTTCCTGCACATTGTCCAGGTGTGGGTCGCTGTGTTTGTTCCCGTCTACTGCAGGAGGAAACTCCTCTGATGCTGGCTGAGCAAGACACCGACCTATGAGTAGAGCCGATGTCCTTAGGAGTCATTTTATTGCTGCATTCCTTTAGCAGAACAGTTGTATTTGGTTTTCCCCTAGGTCTGTGACCTATCTAGTCTCAGGTTCTTGGCCACCTGAGCAGTGTCAGGCATGGGTTTCATCTCATGGAGTGAACCTTAATTCCAGTCGGGGCAGTGGGTGGTTACTCCCACAACTTCTGTACCACTACTGCACCAGTGTATTTTACAGGCAGGCCATCATTGTAGACTGCAGGGATTATATCTAGGTTGGTCTTTACCTTTCTCCTTTGGTGGCGTGCAGAGTGCCTTCCAGGACCCTGAACACTAGTCTAGTCAGGAGGAGTGAAGGCTCTTGTAAGCACCAACTGGGCTTCTCCATGTTCAATGGGTTATGTAGGTGTTATCTTCAGCAATAAGGCCTTACCGTCAGCTTGTGGGGAGCAACCAATAACCTTGGCAATAGCCTGGGTTGTTTCAGCATTCCATGAGGCCTCTCTGGCCAACAAGTCGACCAGATGTAACCCGTTCCCAGCACTGGAGGTTTCATTTGGTGGTAAGAGATGTCTGGTTGGGGCTCTGTCTTACCCATTATTTGGTGATTCCAGTTTGGATTTCTTTCATGTATGAGTATATTTTAAGAATCTTCTATTGTATTAGGTTCACGTACCTCCCCTCAAGTGGCCCTTATTTTTAGCTGTCCCTCTTATGTCCCCTACTTGGCCTCCCCCAACTCTCTATCCTTGTTTTATTCTTTCAAGCACCTCCCTCCCTCTTGTTCCCCAATGGTCTCATGAAAGTTGACCTTATGCCTCTGTGGGGGTCTGTGACCTGAGCATTTGAACCCCCACAGAGTGCTCCACAGATCACTTAAGACTTGGGATTATTAAGAAACACAGGAATGTTTGGGGTGGTATGTGAGTTAGTAGCTGGTTGACATAACGTGGGCACTCACCTGTATGCCTTAGTAGTAACTGGCTCAGTGGTGAGTTCTGTGGAGTCATACATTATAGCTTAGGTCTGGAAGAAAACACTATTATACAACAAAAACAGTAGCAACACATTTACTTTTATTTAGTTAGGCAAATACCATGCGACCACTCTCTAGGTCCCGCATGTCACCATTAGACTCCCACCATGCCACACTCCAGTATAGTTTCACTAGTCAGGTGATTTGACCCTTCTGTGCCTTTTTTATTGATCTCCGTCCAATGCCAATGATACCAGTGCCTCTTTTAGAGTACTGAAGGGGTTAGTATGTGGGGACAACGCTCTGGAACAATGCCAGGCACTTCCTAAATTCGTAATAAATGCTAGCTGTTGTTGCTAAATATCACTGTTATGTGCTAGATGTGTTGAATACATTGCATGCTTTGCTTACCATGCAGTTAAGCACTTGGTGAGAAAGCTATTATTATCCCCAGTTACTGCTGAGGAAACAGAGACACAGAGCGATCACCCTGCCCACCCAGGGTTAAATTAAGTCATGTGTGAGGACCAACTCATTATCTGCCAGACTCAAGATTCTGTATTAAGGGGCAAGTATGATGGGGAAGGGGGTTGCTGATGTTGCTAATGGATGACCAACCAGTCTGACCCTGCAAATTAATTTTCTTCCTAGACTATTCCAGAACCTAGACCGCTTTCCAGAACATCTCTGTGGATTCCCAGGTAAGTAGAGATGGTCCCTTCTTTCTCCATGACATCCTCATGTCTTTGTGGGTGATGGTTCCTTCACTTACAGCTGACTCCTGGAGAGCCCAGTCAACAGCTGTGGGGAGGGCTTAGATGCCTCTTAAGGTTTCAGGCCAGAGTTACCATGAAAGTGCAAGGACTGAGGCAGTCCAGTTGGGGCCACGTGGCCAAGGGATCTGAGTCCCTTCTGTTCCACCCACATTCCCCTTCCCATCTCTATCACCCTTCCCACCCACATCCCCCTTCCAAACTACATGGTTTCCATGGTATTTGTTAGAATAGCATCATGTAAAATACTTAGGAGTGCCACAAAAAGAAAATGAAAACAAGGTCTTTTCTAGACGTCCTCGTGATTTAAAAGGGAGTTAAGAGTTAAGAGCACGGAGCTCCAGAGCCGGACTGCCTGGCTGGTCCAGCCTAGCAGTGACAGCCAGTTTTGCCCTGGTCCCTGCTTTTGAAGACTGCCTCAGTGAGTCTAGAAGTCAGACTCTCAGTTGTAGTACTCAGTCAGCACGGAACAGGAGCTGAAAGACTGGGCCTCAGAGTCAGAACAGCCTAGCCTTGCCTCCTGGGTCTGCTGCGTCAACGTGGCGTGGTCTTATTTCTCCCTCTTCTGAGCCTCGGTTTCTTCTTTCCTGGTCAATGGATAGCCTACAACACACCACCCTGGAGAATGCTCCTGATCTCATCTGAGAGATGATAATCACAGTCATTGCCCTAGGCATTGACTATCTCAAGCTCATGCATGTCAAGGGAACTGACATCCAATAAAATGTGAATTGTTGGCGGATGTGGTGATGTATGTCTGTCATTTCAGTAGTTCAGAGGCAGAGGCAGGTGGATGGTTCTCTTGTGAGTTCAAGGCCAGCCAGTGCTACAAAGTGAGAACCTGCCTCAAGCAAACAAACAGAAACAAGCAAAAAGTTGCACTGTTTCAATAGTTAGGCATGTGCGGATGGTCATGTTAGAAGCCTTTGTGGGCAGAAAGCATGTTGTTTCAGGTCCATCATACATTCTCTGAAATTCTCCAACAGCCTGTGTTCTATGTGAAGAGATTTTTGGTCTTGAAATTCAAAAAAAAAAATCACAAATTCCAAATTGACACAGTCCAAATGAGCCAAGCCTTAGTGCCTCCTTCATTTCCCATCAGTGTTTAAACTTGATCCTTTTTCCATGAACCTAAAACCTCACTAAAATGACTGTTACTCTGAAAAGAGCTATTGACTATGGTGGGAGTTGGTCAGAATCCATGGATTGGGATTTTTGACTTCCTTGTGTTTGAGTCACCATGAAAGTACTTTATATTTGCTGAAAGGGAATTTTTAGAGTAAAACCTGGATGAACTGTCTAAGTGTCTATACATATGTACATTATTCGTGAGCATGGGGCCTCTCTCCCTCCCTCCCTCCCTGCCTGCCTCCCCCCTCCTCTGTGTGTGTGTGTGTGTGTGTGTGTGTGTGTGTGTGTGTGTGTTTAGTTGCCTTTTGCTTAGGCCACTGAAGAGTGATAATGTAAATTCTGTCAGCCTTCTCCCCATCAGACAAGCAAGGACACAGTGAACTCCTGTTTCCTTGGAACGTACACCAAATAATCAGAGACTCTGATTATGCTGCTGGAAGGCAGCAGCTTGATGGAAAGATGTACCAATTGAAAACATCTTTCTGTCAGGAGGATGGGATGCCTCCAGCTGTCTGCCACTAATCATATTAGAGGTGGGGAAGAGGAGTGCTTTGGCCTGAAAAGCTTGCTCTAATCTCATGTTGGAACACCACTTCTCCTGACTGTTTACCCCAGAACGGTGACATTAGATTTCCCTTCTGTAACCAGCCTTGCCAGTTGGTAGTTGTCTAAAACATATGCCACATGAGCACACTTAAGGAATTGTCTAGTTACAGCTCAAATGCTCTGCTCTTATCTTTTTATGCTGGTACTGCAGACATCGCTGATGGAAGTGACTTTTCCCTTAGCACAGTCCTGTTGCCAGCAGCTACAGAAAGACTGGGAAGATGGTGAATGAGACCCGCGATAACCGAAGCGATGTCCGAATTCAATTAGGAAGAGGTCTTTCCCGTGTGGGCACATACGCCATCTAAATCCATTTTAGTTGTGAGCTGTGGTACTTATCTGGCCATGTTTATTTTGGAAACAAGTGCTAACGCTGGATTTAGACCAGAGCTCCAGATCTTCGAGCCCTAATGACTAATTTGGGTACCCATTGGATCCCTTAATTCATTTCTTAATTAGTTCTCCCAGAATCGGAGGGTTGCCTAGTTACAATCATCGTCACAGTATTCTCATAAATCAGAACAAATGTATGTAGAGTTCCTTCCCATGGCTCACATACTATTCCCTGATCTTGAAAACGAGTTGTTATCAAAATAACCATGACATTGCCAACAACAATAAAACTAACATTTTGTAAGGTAGTGATGCATAGCAATACAGTCTAAGGTTCAAAGCAGTATGGCTCCTAAAAATTTATTTATTTATTTATTTATTTGTATGTATATGAGTGCTTTGCCTGAATGCATGTGTGTGTACCAGTGTGTACATTTCCCAGGGAGGCCTGTGGTGGTATTGTGTTTCCCAAAATATTGTGCACCCTAATAAACTTATCTGGGGTCAGAGACAAAACAGCCACAATATTAAACATAGAGGATAGGCAGTGGTAGCATTCCAGAGGCAGAAATCCATGTGTTCAAGGATACAGCCAAGCACGGTGACTCATGCCTTTAATCCCAGAAAGCGAACCTTTAATCCCAGGGAGTGATGGTAGAAGGTAGAAAGATATGTAAGGCGTGAGGACCAGGAACAAGAAGCATTTGGCCTGGTTAAGCATTTGACTGGTTAAGCATTCAGGCTTTTGAGCAGCAATTCAGCTGAGACCCATTCTAGATGAGGACTTAGAGGCCTCCAATCTGAGGAAACAAGACCAGCTGAGGATCCGGCGAGGTGAGGTAACTGTGGCTTGTTCTGATTCTCTGATCTTCCAGTTCACCCCAATACCTGGCTCAGGTTTGATTTTATTAATAAGAACTTTTAAGATTCCTGCTACAGAGGCCAGAAGGAGGTGTTGGTTCCCCTGGAGTTACAGACAGTTATGAGCTGCCATGTGGGTGGGTGCTGGGAATTGAACCCTAGATAGCTCACCAGCCTGAGGCATGGCTTTTGAGTCACGGGTGTGGGAACTTAAGTTACTTTCCCTTACTGTGCCTCAGTTTCTTCTTATAAGATGGGAGGGATGACAGTATCTACATCATCAAATTTCTTTGTCAGACTAACGTATGTAAAGGATAGGTGTGTGAACAACAGTATGTGGAAAGTTCCCGGTGCAGGAAGGGACGTGAGTTGCTGTGTTTGTTATCAAGGAGACTGACAAACAGATAAGCGCATTTCATTGGTGCCGCACCATTGTCAGATAGGTCCCGTCTCTACACTCGATTTGCAGAATAATTCTCCATGGTAATGAAAACACTGAAGACTTGGAAGTTGGATTTAATCCTTTTAAAATTAGTCTTTATTATTTGTGCTTGTATTCTTTAATTTGACTACAGAATTAACACCTTTTACTTTACAGCCGTGTTCAGTGTTAACTTGAAACTTTTTTGATGCAGAATTGCTTTAATTTTGAGAGGATTTTTTCTTCTTTCAGTATATGCAATATTGGCTCTATTGAAAAGAAAAATATGTAAAACTGAGGGGAAGAGATTGAGGGGGAAGTAGCTTCAATAAATCTATTGGAAAAAAAATCACAGACTTGAGAGAGTAAGTTAAGATATATCTAATTCGTAGCTTATATTTGGTGAATGTTCAAGAATTAAAGCTTGCGGAAAGATAAATCTAGATGTTTAATGACCTTTCTTCAAAGCTATATAAGAACTAGTTAATATTAAAATTGATTGGCAAGAGACACATTGGAATTAATTTCCTGTAGATTTCACTTAAGATCGTTTAAGCTACCTCCCTCTCTGTTTCCTTCCCCACCCCAATATGAATGCTCTAGAGAAGTATATATTCAAGTGCATCCAGAGACATGTGTTAACAGTGTGATCATAGGTTGAAATACTGTACTGCAATGGAAGAACCAACAGTAGCTGTGAAATGAGCTACCTACAGACATGATGTTGAAAGAAGAGAGACTTCTATGTTATTGCATAGAACCTTACTACATTTATGTGAATTAGGAAAACAGATCAATCCAAACTGTTACTCAAGTGTGCATACATCAGTGCTAGAATGCTAAAGAAAAACCCAAATTAAATCAGCCAGGTGTGTGGTACATGCTTGTTATCCTAGCAGAGATAGGTAAGCCCTGGAGCTCAGTGTTCAGCAAGCCTAGCCTATTTGGTGAGCTCCAGGTCTAAAAAAAAAAAAAGAAAAGAAAAAGAAAAAGAAAGAAAGAAGGAAAAAGATGGCGGGTGCCTTCTCTAACAAGGCATTGCTGTTGATGTGATGAATCAGTGTAGTGATATATTGTATATCCTAATAAACTTGCCTGGGGATCGGAGGACAGAACCAGCCACTAGATTAGACATAGAGGCCAGACAGTGGTGGCACACACCTTTAAGCCTATCACTCGGGAAGCAGTGATCCGTCTGGATCTCTGTGAGTTCAAGGCTACACTGGGAACAGAACCAGGCAGTGGTGGCACCTGCCTTTAATCCCAGGAAGTGACGGCATGGTGGGGAAAGGTATATAAGGTGTGAGGAAACAGGAACTAAAGCAGTTCAGCTGAGACCCTTTCGGGTAGAGGATTTCAGTCAGAGGATTTGTGGAGTTGGTGAGGTAATAGGTGGTGGCTGTGGCTTGCTCTGCTTCTCTGATCCTCAGGCAAGCTTTATTGGGGTACACAATATATCACCACAGAGCAGTACTGATTTTCAGACGCTAGGGTGCAAGGCTCCCCTAGTTTGAAGCCTCTCAAGAGGGAACTGAATTGATTCAACTAAGATTGATTGGCTTCCATTTAACCGGCC